ATATTTTATAAATAACTCCCTAGATTTCTTTATATTTATAATTAGCACTCTTAAATAAAATAAGATATAAATCTCAACACTATCAATAGCTATTGTTATTGCTTAGGAACAAAATTCACGGAAGTGAGCTACTCAAAAATTATTTGAAGCAAGTACTTAAAAATTTTTAATTGCTATGTATGATTGAGCACCAAATTTGAAGGCAATTTAGAATTAGCTTGGGCAAATAGTTGTCATGTCACCTTCACTCACTTATGAATGAGTGGTTCATAAATAGTTGTTATGAGGCAAACTAATTCTCTTTGGTTGAATAAAAATATCTTCTTACAGTTTTCTATCTTGTGTGCAAATTAAGTGAGTGATTCCTACTTGAGTGGTGCTAATTCGACCGCATAATGCAAAACTACGATAGAAATCATCAACTTAAACTGATTTGGAAGCATATATTTCACATTTCTATAAATTCTTTGCTTAGCTTAATTTCCTCTATATATATTATTATTGGCTTTTTAAAGCTCTTAATTTGGCTCAATGTGGCACTATTAAGGTGATAAATTACAATTGCCATTTGATTTTGTAAAGTTCAAATTTCTCATTAATTTCTTGAAATTTATTCGATCATTACATTGTCAGAAAGTAAATTATTGACTTAGTTGATATTTTAAGATCTAGAAATCATTTTAATTCCTTTTTTTGATTTACACTCATTACAACTTGGTAATTACATTAAGAAACCTTAATCACATTATTTGTCTTACTGTAAAATATTTCTATCTTAAATAATGATTGAAAAAATAGATGTTCAATTTTGCTAACAATGAAAAGTTTACGATTACTCTAGGCAATGACTCAAATAGATTCCAAAATAAGAAACGCTAACACTTTATGACAACAATTATAGTCTACTAGGAATGCCAGTCTTACCCATCTATCAACTAACTCTTTAGTGTGCTTCCTATTAGCTTTACACTCCTCATCATATTTTGATAGAAACATAATAACCTGTGCCAAGGAAAAACAAAATTTTGCATGTTACTTTTCATGAGTTGAGGCATATGTACAACTTTGTTGCAATGAAGTTATGAAACCTAACCTTCCCAAGGCCACTCTTCTTAAGTTTTTCCCTCTGATCATACTGCTCTAAATCAACTGGAAACTGAGGTGTAAAAAAAATTATCATTAAGAAGAGCAAGCAGATAAATAACTTGAAAAAAAGAACCTAAAATCCATCACGAAAATCTTTTCATACAAAGTACAATAAATCTCTGATTAAGTTAGTTAAACTTACACCAAAAATAAAAATAATCAATGAGATCGGGGCTATACATACACCAGAGAGTAACTTTAATATAGCATTACGAAGAGTCATATTAGGTAAGCTCCCATCTGGCAAAGGTTCCAGCCAATTCCTTAGAAGTGTAAGTACTTCATGATCTAAAAAATTGAGCTGAAGTTTCTTCCTACAATAGAAACGGTGCAAGGAAAGTCTAGAGAAAATCAAAATATAATGAGAGTTGTTAGCGAAAAGGTTATGGTGAAGTATTCAAGAGAATGAAAAACTGCTCAACTGCAGATATCTATCTTACTTAGAAAGTGCTTCTTAAAGAAGTGGTAGCTTCTTGAGTTTATTAATAGCTGGCTTATTTTGTCTTTTTAGCTCTACATCTTCTTCAACTATAACTTCAAATTCAATCATAATATCTTCAACAATCATTGCAAGCTCAACTGGGGATTTTTCAATTTCCACCATCTTTTCACTAATCTTAAGAAACTCATTCATCTTATTATCCTCTTTGGCCTATATGGTAATCATACATGTTAGGCATTAAGAAAAAAATGCTATGCATGAAGACTGTGTTAGTGATACGAGTGAGGTAACAAAGTAAATCATTGACATATTAAGTACAATATTTAAAACTTCGAGCAAAACATTAATAAATAAATCAAATCATAATTTGTCAAAAGAGAAAATTATGACCCCAAAAAAAATTAAATAAACGCAAACGAGAGAAATAAAACTTGTGGAACATCCCCAATAGATTTAGCTTCATTATCACTACCAACATAATCAATTTGATCAACCACAACATCAACAACAAAATCATCACCATATGATGAAACTTTTGTTGATATTGGGGTTGATCAACTTGGTCATTTTGGAAGTGAGGAATGGCGTATTGAAGTTCACAATCTTATAAGCATCCCTAAAAATATTCAAAATCCTACGTTTATTTGAAGTAATGAAGCTTGAACCTTTCAAGCTTATCTCCAACAACTTCCGTAAGCATCTAAAAAGTCCAAAAAATCACAACAAATGGGACTTTAGTGATGGCACTAGAAATGAGTCCCAAAGTGCTTGTACACTCAAACAACAACAACCATAACTATAATGGCCTATACAGTAGAATGGGGGCAGCTCTCTTACATTTATTGGCCTAATATCCTCTTGAAAATTCAAACTAATAAAAGAGTTCTCACTTCAAGAAGAAGATAAAAAGGACATAACACAAGGCTCTACTTCAACTAATCAAAATTTTCTTGTCGCAATAAGTGCTTAACAACTCGCTCTGATTCATAACACATAAAAAATATTACTATTTTAACTAAAAAAAATGGAATGCATATGTTCATGCATAATTGGTATGTACGTAAAAATTGAAATTTGAGTGTTGCTTGTTAGATATGAAAATACATACAATTTTTTTGGACTTCTTAGATGCTTAGGAGTGTTGTTGAAGATAAGCTTGTAAGGTTCCAATTTTGTTACATCAGATAAACTTAGGATTTTGAATATTTAAAGAAAAGCTTATAAGAGTGTGAATCAATACGCCATTTGTCACTTCCAAAATGATCAGTTTGATCAACCCCAATATCATGAACAAAAACATCATCATATGCTGATGATTTTGTTGATGATGTTGTGGTTGATCAAATTGATCATTTTGATAGTGATAATGAAGTCGAATCCATTGGAGATGCTCCACAGGTTCTATTTCCCTCGTTTGCGTTTATCGAGTTTTTTTTTGGATCATATGTTTTCCCATTTAACAAATTATGATTTGATTTTATTATTAATGTTTTGTTCGAAGTTTTAAATAATGTATTTAATCTCTCTTTAATTTACTTTGTTGCCTCACTCGTATCACTCGCATGGTCTTCATGCATTGCAATTTTTTCTTAATGCCTAACATTTGTGATGACCTTATAGATCGAAGAGGATAATGAGACGATTGAGTTCCTTAAGATTGGTGAAAAGATGGTGCAAATTGAAAAATCACCTGTTGAGCTTTGCAATGATTGTTGAAGATCTCATGGCTGAATTTGAAGTTACAACTGAAGAAGATGTTGAGCTAAATAGACAAAATAAGCCATCTATTAATAAACTCAAGAAGCCACCACTTCTTCAAGAAGCACTTTTTAAGTAAGATGGATATCAGCAGTTGAGCAGTTTTTCATTCTCTTGAATACTTTACTATAACCTTTTTGCTAACTCTCATTATATTTCGATTTTATCTGGAATTTCATTTCACCGTTGCTATTGTAGGAATAAACATCAGCTCGAATTTTTAGATCATTGAGTCTTACAATTTTAAGGAATTGGCTGAAACCTTTGAAAGATGGGAGCTTACCTAATATGACTATTATGACTGATATATTATAGTTACTCTCTGATGTACGCATAGCCCTCATCCCATTGATTATTTTTATTTTTGGTGTAAGTTTGACTAACTTAATTGGAGATTTATTGCACTTTGTATGAAAAGATTTTCTTGAAAGATTTTAGGTTTTTCTTTTAAGTTACTTATATGTTTGCTCTTCTTGATGATAATTTTTTTGCACTTCAGTTTCCAGTTGATTTAGAGTTGTATGATCAGAGGGAACAACTTAAGAAGGGTGGCCATGGGAAGGTTAGGCCTCATAATTTCATTGCAACGAAGTTTTACATATGCCTCAACTGAAGAATAATAACATGCAAAATTTCATTTTTTCCTTGACACAAGTTATTATATTTCTATCAAGATATGACGAGGAGTGTAAAACTAATAGGAAACTAGCTAAAGAGTTAGTTGATAGATGGGTAAGACAGACATACCTAGTAGACTATAATTATTGTCATGAAGTGTTAGTGTTTCTTATTTTGGAATCTATTTGAGTCATTTCTTAGAGTAATCATAAACTTTTCGTTGTTAGCAAAATTTAACATCTATTTTTTCAATCATTCTTTATGATGTAAATATTTTACGGTAAGACAAATGAAGTGATTAATGTTTCTTAATGCAATTACCATGTTGTTATGGGTGTTAGTCACACAAGAGAATTAAAATGATTTCTAGATCAGATTTGCCCGATAGCCACCTGTTCCACCTCTTTGGCCTCCACAACTACGACCGCAACATCCAAACTATTCACATCCACCTGTTTCTCTCCTTTTGGGTGTGGCATTGAAAAAGCTTAGCTCAGGTGTGTCTCACTTTTCCACAGTTATAGCACCTGTGGGCCTCCCTCTGAGCACTTGTTCTAACTGAGCTTGATGCATCCAAAGTTGATCGCATCCTAAATGACCACTCGGTTGAGCCGAAACACGTGGTGAGGTAGTGGCTCCCGTCGAGACATGAACTCCCTGTATGAGCCCTACTAAGACCTTAAGAACTTCATGATCTATCTTCCCTAGAATTTTCAATCCTTTTACCTCCCATAGCATCCTCAATCAAAAGGATCTAAATTTCGATCACACAAAAAAGAGAGTGAGGTAGCAGCTGAAGTCCTGCAGCAGAAGCTGTCTCGCTCGGACAAGGCAAAAATTGATCTCGATACAAGCTTCAAATTCCTCAATGCTACTCTCTGATACCCTCTCGTGACAGAGGAATTCTGAAAATTTGCCTCTCCTGTTGAAGAGAAACAAACGCACGATCTCCAGGTCCACGTATCTCCTAATCACGCTCCGGTACCTCGCGTTTCCTGACCCTCAAGCCAACTCAAGAAAACGGACCCGTACTTACTCCATTGGATGATCTTGAGGAAGCCAATGGTCACAATTCAGGGTTGATAATGTGGTTGGCGTTGCTGGCGACGGACGAGACAGCATCAGTCTCCACCTCCTCAGCTATGCTGCTACTGCTAGAAATAGCTTTCCACAGCCTCCAACTACAGCGCCTCGATAGGCTTACCGAACTCTGCACGTCGCTGGGAGCTCTGCAAATTGCCACTCTCCTTCTCGCCGTCTACCGACCCTCCAGATCGGAGGATTCGACCTTTGTATGCGACGATCCCGAACTCCAGAATAGGATGCTTCGTCCTTCGTAAGCGGCAATGCTTCGTGAGCTTTGCTCCAATGTTGATATGAATCGATCTTTGCTCTGTTTTTCTCTGCAATTAGAATCTCTTTCTCCTCTCACCTGCTCTTTCATTAAAGTCGGTAATAGGATCCCTCGCTCTTCTGATAAAGGCGAACAGAGAGTTTTTCGCGCCATGGAAGTTGCTGAAGAATCGCACTTCCGAGCTTAAGTGGCAAGGAGAGATTCGAATGCGTGTCAGCAGCGTGAAGGAGAAGGCCTCCGTCTCCGACGCCGCAGCTCTGTTCGCCATCCATGCCCTTCTCCGCTTAACTATTTCGGGACAACCCTAAATATCCATAAATCACAGATGATTTTTCTTAAACTATTGAAACGAAATGATGTATTTGCAGGTGTTTGCCAACATTTCTCCAAGAATTTTTATATTTGATTGATTTGTAAGTAACAGAGTTTCTAATAATTTGTATACATATCATTCAAATTTTTATATCACATAAAAAAAATAATAATATCATTTTTTATTATGTTTAAACCGACCAGTAGAATCCTCCAACTCGGAAGGGTGCGTCAACAGGAATCCCAAAAATACAGGTCTCATATATTAAAAATATTGGTATAGCACTCATTATTCTAATTGAAAATGTAGTCTCGCAATTATACTCCCCTATATCTATAAATATTAAATATTCTTATTGTTTATTATTGTGTTATGTATCTATTTATCTTTCTTGTTAACCGCTTTATTAATTGTGTTAATTGGCCATCTTCAGTAGCTTGGTCAGGTTCTACAACTTCATCAAGCCGATGTCTTATCAGAATCTTTCTTCTTTCAACTATTTGGTTAAAGTAGTGTGTGCCACTCTGGTCTCTAAGTCCCGCATTTTCAACATCTCCTTCTCGAATCTCCTGATATAAGAACAAAAGCTTTCATTATGTCCCTGTTTAACCTACCAAAAGGCTTGTGCATTTTTATTAGGCCTTTGGGTACTAAGAGACAAAGTCAAGAACATCCTTCTTAAACTAATAAAGAAGTCGATCACCCTTACATGAAAATTGTTGAGCCACCTAAAGACAGCCTCTCTCAGTGTAGCATAGAACTGCCGACATTTCACTGTACTAAAAATCCTTAGAAGGTAGACGATTGATTCAAAAGAGGCAATTCAGTCAGTCGAGCCATTCCAACCCTTATACAATTCTAATGTGGGAATCTTAAACTTCTCTAGTGGTTCAGCATTAGAAATCTGCCTAAAGACTGTATTTTTCGGCTGGTGGTGTGCCTCAATGCACCCATATCACTGTTTGTTTATTGGTGCAGCCAAAGCACTGCTCTGGCACGAGGAGTCTGTGAATCCTCTGACTCCTACACCGCTTAGTAGCCATGGGGTTCCGGCTCCTCTTCCCGAGGGTTTTGCCCCAAGAAACTTGCTCCCTTCCTCCTAGCACTAATCGAGTTAGTTCCACCATTTGCCCCTACTGAATTTGCTACTAAACAAATTCCCTAATTCAATCCATATTTTCATGTCTCGTTTCACCCCTGTGTGCTCTTATTCTTGGTGGCATGATTTTGCGCTCACCGCACTTTTTAGGATGTTGCATCTAAATTTCTCCTCCGAGTCACACGCTAGCAAAAGAGCGCAAAATGGAAGAAAGAAATAGAGAATATAGCGTATTAATGAGCACTAGTGAACAGTAATTTAGAATGAGTACATTGACCTTTTTGGACATTTTTGGCTAAGATCGTACAACCATCATTTACAGAATTGCCACTTATTTAAAGAGAGAAAATGCACGTTACACAAAATTACATAGATAACCCTACTTTAATATGGATTGTACATGGTGTTATATATATTTAGCCTTTGTGGGGCCCATGGACCTTTTGGGTTACTCGACCCGGTGAGCTGGATGACAAAGATGAGCGGCCAATCTTGTCACCTGACTGTTCTAGTAGGGTTATCTGAACATTTCACAATGCGGGTGTAGTTGGTCAGACAACCCTGCGAAGT